CTTTACTTGCTTAGATGTAGTTCACCTGGACCCACGGGAATCCAGGTGGCGTCAGCTTGACCTGACAGATATAACCAGAGGAGAGATGTGCTCTTGAAGTCCTCTCTCAGGCTCCTGAGCAGCAGTAACCTGGAACTACATGGCCTTGGTCACTAAGTAAGAAAAGTGACTCTTGTGTGGACAGCTCCTTCTAGTTTCCAAAGAGTAGTGGACTCCAACTACCATCTTGCTTAGCCTTCCAAACAGTCTCATGAGATGCCTATAGTTCTACCATATTGTGGATGGAAAACAGAAGCGAGGTGTGCCCCTAGGCATAGTCAACTGTGGACACTCTAGGAAATGGTTTTGCACAACCAAGAGTCCCATCATCTGGCATCCTGGGCTGCTACCTCATATCTACCCTGACTTGCTGAGTGATGTCAGCCACATTACAGCTGGGGAAGGTCCCTTCATTCCTTTTCCTAGATGATGTAAATGGTTCACACTCTTAGACTGGAGATTGGAGTTTACAATCTCCCAGAGGCTCCTTGGAAGACAGCCTGGTGATACACATCCCAAAAATCAGCCATTGAAAACCCTGTGGAACACAGCCTACTGCAACAATGTGTGGCCACTATAATTTGGAATCAACTCAATGCATGCAACTGATTTGATTTGGCTTTGTTTCTTCTTTTTTGATTTGGTTTCTGTAAATCTTAGTGAGCAAGTGAGTGGGGAAAGGTTGGACCAGGATTTCCAAACTGCATCTTTACCCCAGAAAGTTTTTTTTCCTTGTGGGGCTGAGACCAGCCCCTTGGTCAACACAGCTACTCTGCTTTCAGCTTTGGGCCCTGGGACTTCACAGGGTGATTCATTTTGTAAAACTATTCTACAGCTAAGGGAAAGCACATGGGCTAGGTTAGATTTCTTCCCAGATCCCTTCCTGCTCCATGAACTCATGACAGCAGGGCAGCCCATGTTTCTGATGGAGCCCCTAGCCACATAGACCATGCTGAATCCACCCCTGCTGATGGCCTTGCATGCTGGCATCTGGGGAAGAAGAGCTCTGGTCATCCTATGGGGCTTCAGACCTGGCAGATCCCAGGGCAGACAGCTTTCCTGACCCTCATTTTCTGGTGACCATAAGGAATCCCCTTTCCCTTTTTTGAGGCACAGTTTATCCATCTCCACAGCTGGGTAAGGCTGCTCAGATCTCAAGACCAGTTGAAAAGGAGAGCAGTTGGCTAGCTTATCTTATCCACAAACAAAAATGTGGAGGTGGCCATGGTAGTGATGGACATCATGGTCAGTTTGACACTCAAACCAGTGGAGATGGAGAAATAATCTGCAAAGAAATCTGAAATGCTGCTAAAGTTCATCTCGGAACAGAACCAAGTGAACCATGATTGTAGCAACAAGAGATGAAGGACCATTGATTCAGAACACCCTGCCATGTCCACCTAGATTTCAGAGATTCCTGGAGGCCAGGAGGGCTCAGTGGGGTCTGTGGTGTTGGTCAGTGAGATGGCGCAGATCTCTGGTGCTGCCCCAGCCTCAGGGATACTGTTTCAGGTTGTCCCTTTGGTCCCTCAATGATGTTCACCTTTTTACAACCCTGCCTCCCACAGGCCCAGCCTGGTTCCTTGGAATACCCACTTTACTTACATCTTTTCCTGGAGACCCTTCCCGGCCAGGGGGCCCCATGGTCCCAGGCTCTCCCTAGAGAGGAGAATCAGAAACAAAGAGTCTAGTGTTAAGGAAGGGAGATGCTGGTTATCAACTGCCTCAACTGCAGGGTGACTGAGGATCTAGGTGAGCATGGATCCAGGACTGCCTACCAAGACTGTGGAGGGCAGGGCAGCCTCCCAGGCAGAGTCCTGGCCTGTTTGGGCTCGAAGGCTCCTGAGATCTGGGCCACGCTGTGCTCTCTGAGCCATGTGGGAAGACCACCAGTCAAGGGCCAAACTCATCCTCTCCAGACCCATGTGACCCTTCCTACTCTCTGCTTTCTCATTGGTTGCCTGGAGCATTCCAGGACTTAAGGGACCAAGCATGAGGGTCCTTCCATTTAGAGCATTTGGAAGAGACAGAGGATGTGAAAGGACAAGACACCTACATCTACGCATGCCCACTTGTGTTCTGAGAACTCAGGGATACCATCCATTCTCCTGGGTCTTGGCTGTCACCTATGTAAAACAAGCTAGTTCACAGTTTTTGGTTCACGGGACTCAGGCTACCCTATCTGACACAGCCAATGGAGACCACCTGAGTGCATATTGACTTGACCAGGAGAATGTTCTAGAAGAACTAGATCAAGAGAAGGGATGTTGTGCATCATGCTCACTGGGCTGGGCTCCCTCTCAGGTAACAAGGTGATGCACTGGTTGCAGAATCCAGTGAGTTGTCAGCTCAGTGTCACTTGGAAAGACCTCTGAGGTGAGGTGTCCACTTACCCGGGGACCAGGTGCACCAGAATCGCCCGTGTGTCCCTTGAAGCCCTGGAAGACAGAATGAAGCAATTCCACCACAGAGATATGGCACTAAGGACAGGGATGGCAGTCCCATTGAGTCTTCACACTCTCCCTGTGGCCCTCCCCAAGTCCCCTCGTGCGTCACCAAGTTGCAATGTCCGAAGGTCTACTTAGTGCCACGCTTGGCACCAGGGATGTGATGACTGAGGGACTCAGACCCTTCCTCCCAGTTCACCTGCACTTGTGGGTGGGGCTATGGCACTGGCCCCACAGGTACCAGAGTGCTGGGATGTCACTCCACAGTCTACTGAGCTCCCTGTTCTTCCCGCTGTACCTGGTCTCACACTATTTGTTAGGGACCTCCTCACCTTCTACCTCTTCCTGGATCCTTTGGGGTAGACACCTGAGTCAGATGGGTCCTTGTGGACAACATCTGGAATGTGGTCTTTGGGCTATCTTCTTATTCCTATGACCATGGTTGATCACACCCAAAACCCACAGTGCTGTTGAACTCTGGGAGCCTCATCCTGGACCATCATCCTTCTCCCTGCCTAGAAGAGCCATGTGAGGATGCATTGCCTGAAATGTCAACATAGAACTTCAAGTCCTCCTGCATTGCCCAGCCAACTATCCCAGAGACAGAGACCCTGGTATGCATGACGAAAAAGCGAAGCGAAGGGGCGTGCGCAGTGTATCAGGCATGTGACTGGGGGTAGGGGTGGGGGTTACATGTCTGAGCGGCTGGCTCCATTAGCTTCATGAACACCCCACAGAAATGGGAGAGATGAGACCCCTGTTTCATAGAAGAAGAAACATAGGTGCCCTATCACAACATTAAATGGCAAGATGAACTGAATTCAAGTTTGTGTAACTCAAAACCGATGCTGTTCTTCAAAGCTTTTCTCTGACCCATCCCATCCAGTCAGACTGAGCCAGTATTTCTTTTCCTTGCTAGGTCTCTAACTGCAGTCCCTACATTTGGCTGGACTTCTTACCACTCTCAGATGAGGAGTGGGTCTTGCCTCAAGGTGGTTCCTGAATAAATAGAATTCCTCTTCCACCAATAAACCACCTTAAGAGAACCGACCACAGACTCTGAGTCTTGATCACCCACAGGGGATGGTGGTTCCACCTCAGATTTATTCTGGTGCAATCAGGTGAAAGCAAGCGGTGGAGGGGTGTAAGCAAGGAGGAAATTGATTTTTGCGTTTTATTTATACCTTATTGAATAGTTGCCACATGATTTATTGATTCTTTTTTTTTTTTTTTAACAAAAAACAACATTAAGGAAATAGAACTTGCATTTGGATCTGCTACTTCATGCCAGATAATTGGATTTGGGAATTTTCATTAAAATCATATATATTTCACCCTCCCCCCCGCCAAAAAAAAAACTAATTTAAGGAATTGGGTAAACAATTTTGAAGTTATGAAGGCGTAAAGCATTTAGCAAAAGAAAAATACTTAAAATGCACCATTTGAACTCATATTTATGAGAAAAGACGTTTATGTGTATGTTTATGCCTACAGTAAACTTGTACTAGATACAGATACAGATTTATAGATCAGCTGATGTGGAAATTTATATACAGATAAAATGATTGTAAAACAGATCCTAGAGTGTTCACAGAGTGTTTCCCCTGTATTATAGAATTAAGCATAACTTGATTTTCTTCTCCACACCATTCATCTTGGTGTTCTTATTGCTATCACCATTATTACTACTGCTATAAGAAGCTCTGGTAGCATAGTGGTTACGAATCCGGCTGCCAACAGCAAGGTCGGCAGTTCGAAACTACCAGCTGTTCCGTGGGAGAAAGATGAGGTGTTCTGCTCCCATAAAGATTTACAGCCTCGGAAACCCTGTGCAGGGTCACTATGAGTCAGAACCGACTCCACGGTATTTGACAACAACAACAACAACATACAGTAAGGATGGATTACTTCTATAATCAGAGGAAAACTCCATCTATTGACAGTGTTCCAAACTCAAATTAAAACTCATTTTGGGGTTCCGTCATTCAGAGACAGTCCATAAAAAATGATAAGTAGGAAAAATAAAAGACAATGGAGACAACAGCATGTCTATAATAGCTCTGCAATCTGAAAATAAATTTTACAACCATGGTCTGGGAAACTGTTGTTAAGTGCAGTCGAGTCAGTTCCAACTCATAGCAACCCTGTTTAGGGTTTCTGAGGAGCAGCTGATGGTTTTAACCACTGACCTTGCAGTTAGCAGTCCAGTGCTCATCCTACAGCACCACATGAGGCCTAGAGAACAACTGGTTCACAGTGTAGGACCCCCACTGTCTCAAACAAGAGAGAACCTCTGGAAGGCCATCAGTCAGCAGGAACGAACAGTACCCATTGTGGCACAAACCATGTGGGTGACAGGGGGGATTCTACCATCATCCCTCCCCCAACACTCATACACGTATGCACTCACACACATAAACCCATGACACTTAGATCCACACACCCTCTCTTTCATACAACACACACAACATGAAGTCAACACATACACACACAGGTATGCACCATACACATGAACTCACACACATGCACACTCACCTAGATATGCACACACATATGCACACACACTACACACAAACATGAAGTCACACAGAATAGACTACACAAACATGTACTCACACACATGCACACACACTCACACACCACACACATGAACCCATACACATGGACACTCACATAGATATGCACACACATGCACACATTCACTCTCCCTCACACACATTGTACTAAGCATGAACTCACACATACTACTCAAGTGAGTACTCACACACACATGTCATACATACACATGAACTCATATGTACAAATACAAACATGTACATACCACACATACGAGCACATATGTTTGCATATGCCACACTAACATGCACTCACACATAAACATATATCTCACACACACTGGTTGTTGTTATGTGCCATCGAGTTGGTACCGACTCAGAGCAACCCTACGTACAAAAGAATGCAACACTGCCTGGTCCTGGACCAACCTCACAATTGTTGCCACGCTTGAGCCCAGTGATGCTGACACTTTGCCAATCCATCTCGCTGGGGGTCTTCCTCTTTTTCTCAGACCCTCCCCCTTACCAAAAATGATATCCTTCTCCAGCTACTAGTCCCTTCTGACAATATGTCCAAAGTATGAGAGACGAAGTTTGGCCATCCTAGCCTCCAAGGAACAACTCTGACTGCACTTCTTCCAACACAGATCTGTTGGTTCTTTTGGCAGTACATGGCACTTTCAATATTCTCCTCCAACACTATAACTCAAAAGCATCAATTCTTCTACAGTCTTCCTTATTCACTGTCCAGCTTTTGCATGCATATGAGGTTATTGAAAATACCACAGCTTGGGTCAGGCACACCTTAGTCCTCAAAATGACATCTTTGCTCTTCAACACTTTAAAAAGGTCTTGTGCAGCAGATTTGCCTAATGCAATACATTGTTTGATCTCTTGACTGCTGCTTCAATGAGTGTTGATAGTTGATCCAAGAAGAGTGAAGTCTTTAACAACTTCAATCTTTTTTCCATTGATAAGAATGTTGTTTATTGGTCCAGTGGTGAGGATTTTTGTTTTCTTTACATTGAGATGCAATCCATACAGAAGGCTGTGGTCTTTTGATTTTCATCAGTAAGTATTTTAAGTCCTCTTCACTTTCAGCTAGCAAGGTTGTATCGTCTGCATAGCACAGGTTGTTAATGAGTCTTCCTCCAAACCTGATGCCATGTTTTGCTTAATATAGCCCAGCTTCTCTGATTATTTGCTCAGCATATGAGCTGACTAAGTATGGTAACAGAATACAACCCTGTCGCATACCTTTCTTAATTTTAAACCACTCACTGTTCCCATGTTCTGTTCGAACAACTGCCTCTTGGTCCAGGTACAGATTCCTCATGAGCATAATTAAGTGTTCCGGAATAATCATACTTTGTAATATTTTCCATAGCTTGTCATGAATTACACAATCAAAAGCCTTTATAAACACACATGTGTGTACCACATGCATGAGCACACATGTTCACACACACCACAACCTGTACTCATACACACATACACATGCACACACACACACATTTCACACACCCATACTACAAAATCATGCACTCACACACAGACACACATGAAGACTCTCTCTCACACACAGCCTGCACATGAATTCACTCTCACACATGTGTTTAATGCTTACAGGTGGTCCTCGGGCCCCCTCTGGTCCTGGTAGGCCTGGCTCTCCAGCTTTGCCCTGAAAGTAAAGAAGAAATGTTGAAAACATTTTTAGGGTTCATGGTTATGTGGGCTTCATGTCATCATATTTCTATAAGCCAGTCTCTGTCCACCCTGCCATCCTTGGTCCCTGGAATTATCAACACCAGGTACTCAGGGCCTCCCGTGTTCCTGGTCCGGCCATGAGCTTCATCTCTGAATCGTTATTCATAGAGTCCCTCTGTACACTCTGAAGGTGTTTGGTCTGGATGAGAAACAGTATGCACATGCAAGCTATAAATGACATTACATTTTGGACTTGGGTTCCCCTGTGGTTCGATAATGGTGCCCACCCCACCCCACCATAAGGATCTGGTGGAGATAACACTGGGAGAAGTAAGGAAGCACTTGGAGATGGCAGAGGGCAGTGAGAGAGTCTTCCTCCTGCCTATGACTTTCCAACAGGCTAACTGCTCCTGTCCCTGAGGGCAGCTCTGCCGGGGGAGCCTCCAGCGCTCAGTGAAGCTTTCAATTTTCTCAGCTGTTGAAAGCCTTTACTTCTCCCCTTAGCAGTGAATTTTGGTTTCAGCCTCTGACACCCAGTGTCAAATGAGTAAGAAAATGCTTCCAGCAAGGTGCATAAGATGCAGAATGAGTCCTCATCACAGTTTGTGACCAAACAAATCAAATGGACCATAAACCTTCCTGTAGGAACTTGTATGTCATTCCACTTAGAGGTTCTACAGGGTCGCAAGTCATGACCTGTCTGGGAGTTAACACTGGGGCAATTTGGAAAAAGATGTCACTGTAGGCAAAAAACAGGTGAGCTGGATGCATTGATCCAATTCTTCATTCACCTCACCACATCCCCTAGCAACTCGGGCAAGTTGGCACTGTTATTCTCTGGAACTGAGGCTCAGTCAGGCTCTTTGATGTACCCCACATCATCACAAGCCTGCAAACAGTGGGGTCAGTATCTGAGACTACTCCACTATCGCCAGTGTCACGGAGAACCTGTGGGAGCCGGAACTCAACACGATTGCCTTGTTGTTTTTATGGGTCTTGCTAGTTTTCACCTTTAACAGGGTGCATGTAATCTGCCATTTTTCTTTCACTCTTTATTAGGAACCCTACCTCACCACTTGACCAATAAACAATACCCATATCAATCAGAAAAGACTGAAGTTGTGAAAGACTTCATTTTGCTCGGATCAACCATCAACACACATGAAAGCGGAAGTTAAAAAATCAAACAACGTATTGCATTAGGCAAATCTGCTGCACAAGACTTCTTTAAAGAGTTGGAGAGCAAAGATGTCAGCTTGAGGACTAAGGTGGGCCAGACCCAAGCCATGGTATTTTCAATAACCTCATATGCATGTGAAAGCTGTACAGTGAATAAGGAAGACCGTAGAAGAATTGATGCTTTTGAGTTATGGTGTTGTCAGAGAATATTGAAAGTGCCATGGGATGCCAAAAGAACCAACAGATCTGTGTAGGAAGAAGTGCAGCCAGAGCGCTCCTTGGAAGTCAAGATTGCCAGACTTCATCCTTCATACTTCAGACATGTTGTCAGGAGGGACTAGTCCCTGGAGAAGGATATCATGTTTGGTAAAGTGGAGGGTCTGAGAAAAGAGGAAGACCCCTGTGAGATGGATTGACCAGGTGGTGGAAGCGATGAGCTCAGGCATAGCAACGACTGTGGGGTTGGCCCAGGACCATTCGGTTGTGCATAGGGTCATTATGAGTCAGTATTGACTCGATGTCACCTAACAACAACAACAACCTCACAAATAGAGTCCTGGTGTGATGCTGTGGGTTAATGCACTGGACTGCAAAGGCAGTTTGAACCATAGGGTTGGTAGTTCAAGCTCACCAACCACTCCTCAGAAACCTATACAGGATCTATCTGAGTGGGAACCAACTCCACAGCACTTTACAGCAAACATCTACAACAACCTCACAAATACCCAGTGAGTTTTCCTTCTCTGACAGGTTTCTGCCTGATACAGGTTCCAGCTTTCACAGACATTACTGTATTGATTAGTTTACAAACAATATTATATTTAATTATTTTGCATTTAATTTTATGAATAAGTAATGCGAACATGACAAAAGATAAAAAAGATGATGTAATATAATAAAGCAGAAATGTAGAAGTTGTCTTTCCATCTCTATGCCTCATCTGCTTCACAACTACTTTTTCTAGTATTTTTGGAATTAAATACTAGAAATAAAATATATTTGTATGCAGATGTATATGTTATTGTTGTTGTTGTTTTTTCATCAGTATAATTTTACATTTTATTAATTTTTTTTCCTAATAAGGCCAGGATCATCCCGTGTCCTTTGAGAAAATCTGTGAAGACTGTCTCTTTGGAATCCTAAAACTAGTTGCCATAGCCTTCTGAGTTGATGTCTCTGACTTGAGTTGAACTGGCCCAGAAGATCCCCTTGGAAGCCATTGTTTTTATTGAAAATCACCCTAAGGAGACTGCTGTTAAGGGTCGTCCAGTCGATTCTGACTCATAGTGACCCTGTATAGGGTTTCCAAAGAGCAACAGATGAGCTTGATCTGCTGACCTTGTGGTCGAACCAACTTTGCAGTTCAGTGCATTAACCTACAACACCACACCAGGGCTCCATAATGAGACTAAGACAAGTATGACAAGTATATTCCTGAAAGTGCTTATCTGCAGCCCTTCACTGACCACAGAGCCGTGTTTATGCATGTCTTGTTCGTTATAAACCTGTGCATGTATTAACTGGAACCCTAAGAGTGATACATTTTAACTTACCCTCATATATTTAGTACCATTCTAATACAAAATAGTGCTAACTACACTGTCCTTTTGCTCTGTTACTTTACAGGTGACCTTGGAGATGTTCCCTATCAGTACTGAGGGAAAATCTTTACTCCTTTTACCATCTGCTTGGTATTCTACCGGGTTGATGGACTACCACTGCACTGGTCTCCTACGGGTGAACATTAGGAAAAGTCAGTTCCATAGACCTCTGATGCCACACTCTAGTCTCTTCTCAATGCTGTGGGAGGGCTTACAACAGAGAAATGCCATCGAGTCAGTTCGAACTCATGACAGACCTGTGTGTGCAGAGTAGAATGGCTCCACACGGTTCTCAAGGCTGTGACCCCTCAGAAGCAGATCCCCAGGTCTGTCTTCGCCTCTGCTAATAGATGAGTGCCTGTTTGTACCACTCAGAGATGAGGGAAGAGGAAGTGCTGCTCTGGATGGAAGAATTGTGACCACCACCCTGGTTTCTTCCAACACCATGATCAAGAAGACCAGACCAGCCTAGGAGCAGACAACTGTTTAGTTCCCCAGCAAACAGTCACAGGGACCCCCTCATGAACACTTGGTCCTCACTCTGTGTCCCTGGGCATCTGATATTAAAAGGGGCAAACTCACAACACCAAGAGCTAGTGGCTAAAGCATAGGTTCGGCTCTTCTTCAGGCATGGGGGCAGTGCTGGCTCAGGGGCAGGGTTCTCACCTTCCATGTGGGAGACCCAGGTTCTAGTCCTTGCCAAGAAGCTTCATGCAGGGCCACCACCCACCTGCCATGTATGTGTGTTGCTAAAGTGCTAAACAGGTGTCATTGGAGCTTCCAGACTAAGATGGATTAAGAAGAAAGATCTGGATATCTACTTCTGAACATCAGCCACTAAGAACCCTCTGGATCTCAACAGCCTGATGACTGTGGACAATGAGGACAATGTAGGACCAAGTAACATTTCATTCTGCTAGATGTGGACTCATGATGAGTCAGGGCTGTCTGGACAGCAGCTCGTAACTGATATGAGTGCTCATCTGACTCATTTCCCTCCCACATCAATAGGCTTGAGGCTGCTCATGACAGCTAATGTGTAAGGAGATAAAGGAGGCCTGAGATCTGGTTCCAACTCTACCACCAGCTCATCATGAAGCATTGGATACATCATGCCATCTGAGTCTCAGTTACTTTAGCTGTAAAATGGGGGTAGTAAAACAGGTTCATTGGGAGAAGTAGGTAGAGCAATGAATAGGAGATAATTCCATTGTCATGCTTGGTCAAGTAGAGGGTCAATGAAACACAGGAAACCCCTCAATGAGGTGGATTGGCAGAGTGGCAGCAACAATGGACTCAAACCTAACAATTGTTGAGTCCTGGAACAGGATTAGACAGTGTTTCATTCTATTATGCATTGGGCCATTATGAGTTGGAGTTGACTTGATGGAACCTAACTACAATAGTTCACAGTACTACTCAACATGTTGTGGAGAAAAACAATGATAAGAAATAGTAAGAGTCCCTTACTGGATCTCCAGGAAGGCCTGGTTTTCCATCTCTTCCCTCTTTACCTTCTTCTCCCTGCAAAAGAAATTTAACTAGGTTACCAGGTCAAAGATAACTGGAAGGAAGAGAACACAATGCAGGTTCAACACATTTTTTTTCCTAGAACACAGCAATGCTCATAGTTAACAGCTAAGAGGGCATTTCAACAGACAGAAGAATTGGCTTGCTTCCAACAGGACAATTCAAGCTGTGGGTCTGTTATGGTCAGTACCAGACATACCCTGGGAATACTGAATATGGTATTAGCAACAATGTTATAGCTATTCATCTGAAGAAGCACTTGTTGACATTCTCATGAAGTCTAACTCAACACAGGGGGCCTCATGGATTGAACAAGGTGAAAAGGAGGGAGGACATGGGTTCTGATAAAGATGAGGACATTACAGGATGTGAAGGTAAGCGCTTGGCACGGCTCCTGGGGCACTGTGAGTGACAACAAGGACTATATTTTGATCACAGAAGGTCGTGAACACTTTACCTTTCCTCCAATGAAATCAAGCTATGAGTCCCCTCCCTGTCTCCCACCCTCTACTTGCAATTCTGCTGTTCTACAAGGACACTGTAACCCTTGTGTTTAGCTAAGTGATAACAATTCCTTCAGGAGTCTCTGGAGACAAGAAAGATAGCTCAGTGTGATGTTGAAGACATCAGAAAGACTGAGGGTCCTATCCTTGACCAACATGACCCGGGTCTTGGGGAACAAAAGGAGCAAGGTCATGTGACAGAGGGGAAGCTAGGTCTGTGGAACAAGGCTTGAATGTTGCCTGCATCCCCTAACTATGTACTCTTGGACAAGTTATTGAATTCCTCTCATCCTCTATGTTTCATCTCTTATGCATAGATCTCCAGCCAGCCTTGCAGATCAGATAGACACTTCTGTTTGCAATGCTGACTAAAACAGGGACCAGTAAATGGTACCAGGGCCATGGCTGCCCCTGGATGCTGCAGCCACTGATGAAATGATGTGTTATTCCTTGTCAGTGCCTTCAACCTCTGTGCCTGGGCCTAGGTGGACGCTACTGAAGACAGAGATCTGAATTGTCTGACCATCCAGAAAGAACACTGTCCCCACGCTCAATGCGTGCCTGGGACTGTGAATGTCACATCAGGCCTCATCGCACAAACCTCAACTAAACCTCCCAGCTGTCTGAGAGGTCAAGCTGGATCGATCCTCTTTTCAATTAAAAGTTTACCTCCAGAAACCATTTTCCTGGTACAAGAAAGCGGCAGGGGGGAGGAGAAGCAGAAGAGCCGTGCAGAGAAAAGAAAGCTTAGTGCAATATAATGAAACATCCAGCAGGGAGACCAACAAAGTCAGGCTAGAGGCAGGCAGAAGCTTGGGGAGACTCTACATACAGATGTCTGGGTCACCTGGAGGTGGGGGAGCATCCTGCTGACGGGAGCTAGGAACACGTGAGATCTACTGAATGAACTAAGATGTAGTTCTGGCTGTCGGAGAAAGAAAGGCTGCCTCTCAGAAATGGGGGTGATCACAGCTACATGCAGGGTGAGGATTCAGCATTGTGATGTATTGTGCCTAGTTCACTGTAACTGCTCAAACTGCCCTTGTTGTTATTAAGAAATTACAGCTACATATCATTACGTGTTCGTTTGGGTAATGTGTGACCACATGCATGTTCTAGTGTAGTGCTATAGGATCAGCACTGGACTGCGAACCACAACGTTGGTGGTTCAAACCCACCAGCTGCTCCTCAGAAACCCTATACAGGGTCGCTATGAGTCAGAACTGACTTGATGGCTTTTAACAACAACATTCCGGGGGAGGAGTTAGTGTTGTGATATGTTGTGTTTAGGTCACCATAACTGCTCAATATAACATTGTTATTAAGAAATGACAGATATGCGTCACTTAACAATCATTCCATGAATGTATGACCACATGTATGCCCATGGTCCTATCAGGCTTTCATGATTATTGTTTTTTTTCTTAAGGGAAAGCAACTTGCCCTTTTTTATTATTTACTCTTAATGATGTTGTTCAAGAGTCCAAACTCAGACTGTTACAGCATTGGATGGACCACAGGTGGGATACAGGCTGGTGAGGGAAGCAGAGGTCATGGCTCTGGATGAGGGCCCTTGGGCGTTGTCCAATAATCAAGCAGGTGGCAGTGTGGACTACAGGGCCTGCGGTTGCTCTTGTGGGTAGAACAGTGGACATAGCTGGATGTGTTCCGCTCCCTCCTCACTTTCTTCTTCCCACTCTACTCCTACTGCCACCCTCTCCATCACCACCTTGTTGCTACTAACTTTTCCAATCTCCATCACCAGCAAGGGCAGTGGTGAGGGAAACAACCAGACGTGGGGTCCCAGAAGATTTTAATATGGTACTCACACAACGTCCAAATCACTTAACGTTCTATTTCACCCAACATACCATGGGTCTTAAACACCACAGAGCTGCATTAGTTTATAATTTATATAGAATTCTAAGAAAGTTAAGAGTGCCTTATTGGCCAACATGCTGTGTATATGATAGCTACATTGCATATGTAACCTGAAAGTTCTCTATTGTATGATGCCAGACACTGAGCTGGCTCTCAGTCAATGGAAACTTGTTCAGTTTTGTTCATGGAAATGAATGGCAATGCTCAATAAAAGTTGATGTGAAGGCACTGGTCTTCAATCCTTCACAGCATCTAGCATCAGTGGAAGGACATGTTATCTCTTATAATCAATCAGTGTAAATAAGTATACCTTGGTCCCTCCCACTCCCCCCCCCCAACACACACAGCCCCAGAAGTCCAGATGGTCCTCCAATCTGCTTGACGTTGGTCAAGCTATCACATCATGAGACACACTCCACATCAATGGTGTCCTGACATTCTGTTTAGCTTCTCCCTGAGACTGCAGCCCCCTACCTACCCACCAACCCAACCACCCGCTGTGGTTGGGATCATGGCTGAAGCAGAGACACAGGTAAGGAGCAAGATACTCATGCATCCCCATCCACTCTGCCATCCCATTAGCTTAGATTTGCAAAGCAGCTACTCAGCATGGTACTGATGAAATCACCATTTAAGTAAGTAAACATCAACAAAAGTATCTGTGGAACAAAATCAAGACCAACTCCACCAATGTATTAGTCATAGTTGACTTTGGTCATCACTCTTCTTCAAACTTTATATGAGATACAAAGTTGCCCTAGTGACCAAGCTTTACCTCAATATTAACAAGCATATGCTTGTTTTGTGGTTTTCTTTTGTAATACAGAAACTAGATTTTATTTAAAGCCACCTACTGGAATTCCAGGTAATCCAGATGGGCCCTGGGGGCCAGGAGGACCTTCTTTCCCCTAAAGATTCAAAACATAAAAACAGCACTCAATCTTTATGCTGGACATTGTTGGTATTATTATTATTTTAGTGAAAATATACAGTCATACATGATTTTGACATTTGCAATATATACAATTTAGTGACAGTTTTATTCTTCAAATTGTGCAAACATTCCCACCTTTCCCCTCCCGACTGTTTCACCAACATGGATGTAGATTGACCATTTGCTGAGCTCCTCATCTAAGCTTTATAGTTTCCATTGCCAATTTGATCTCACAAAGACAGTTCTTTAAAAGCGCATGTTACCCGCATGGAGAAATAGAGCAGCTAAGGACTCTAGACTCATGGAAAGAGAAAGGCTGTGTGCTGGTGGTTAGGTGCTGGTGGCCAGGGGCAGGCTTGCAGTTTGTATCCTTTGGTTGTTTAAATGATTATGTATTCCTGAGTGTTTTTGTGTACACCCCCTCAACAAACAAACAAATTCCCCCAAAACAGAGGTAATAGAAGCAAATATTGTTGCATGATGATCCACAAAGGAGACTGTAATCATTGCAATGAAATAATGAGTGTAAAACTGATGTTCACCCACGTAAACTATCACTCAATTCACAATACAAACATTTTTTAAAAAGATAATTGGAGGAAAGATTGAAAAAGAAAAAAACTGTATCGTACTCTATGTAGACATATTTTACTATGAAGATTGGCTAATTTTTGGTTCAAAGAGACTTCAGGGGATTGATCCAATTTAATGTTAAAGTCCGATAGACTTCTCTGGAAGTGAATTATTTAGCATGGTCTGGTGGCTGAGAAGGAGTCCAGAGTTAGAAAGGTGTGCCTCTGGGTGCATGTCTAGCATCCCCAAGAATCCCCAGCCTTTGCCTCCCTCAGGGCACAGACATAGTCAACCTAAGTCATGGGCACACCCTTTTCCAGAGACTCAGGGGAACTGTACATTGGTTGGCATGGTGGGAAGAAGAGTTTGGAGCTCTGGAGTACAAAATACCTTGTTCAGACCCAAATCTGTACTTTGTCTCCATATTTCCTGAGACTCAGTTCCCTGGGCACGCAGTAAAGACACCTGCAGCCAGAGGTGCCATGTGTGCAGGAACCAACCCAGGCGAAGAGCTGGTCATGGTGCACGCAGAGAGGATGGCTTTAATATTATCATGGTCTTGTCCAGAGATCCCCAAACTTTTTACACTCAACAATCACTTTTACCATATCTTTCCCTCATGAAATAAACCCCATATTCTGAAAGATGGTCATTAGCAAACTGCCTGATTTCATACTTAACTTTCCATTTCACTCCTCAAACACATACGTAACTCTCAGCCAAAGCTTCCAAGTCAGCATGAGGCCACCAGTGTTATTATTTCTAACAGAAAGATAATTTTATATCTCTATGTGTCTTGTGCTTGGTAAAGCCGAGGGTCAGTGGATAAAAGGAAGACCCTTGAAGAGATTGGTTGACACAGTGGCTGCAACAAAGGGCTCAAATATAACAGTGATTGTGAGGCTGGTACAGGACAAGGCAGGGTTTCATTCTGTTGTAAATAGCATTGCTTTGAGTAGGAATTGACTTGATAGAATAGATGTATCTACATTTAGGATTCCTGACAATGTTATAATCTCGTGCTAGTGTTTCTTTTGTGGTAAGATACTGAATCCAGGATTTACATTCTAATCTATATATTCTTGAGGACTGTAGCCCCATAGAAGAAAATCAAGTCCAAGATAAAATTTCCTCTTTATTTTAGATGTATATACATTTTTTATGTTGTCTCATAAAAATGGTCCAATTAGAAAACTAAACTATGAACACTAACCCCTTAACCAACCTCCTCTTAACCAGGTACATGATAAACCATCCCTCCATCTTCTTCAAATGTGCATGCCTCATAGCCACACTACAGGAAAGCTCTGCCCTTCTGCCCTCACCAGTTGAGTTATGCACTCACAGGGCACCAATGTGTTTGCGCCAACACCTGTGTGCACCTGTTGCTATTTGCTATAGGAATGACAAAATTTAATCATATATGAATACCAAAAGCCAAATCTGATGCCCACATGCCAACTGCAACTCCTAGAGACCCCATAGGACAGAGGAGAACTGTCCCCAAAGATCTCCAAGGCTGTAATGTTTATAGAAGCAGGCTGTCCTCTTTCTCCTGTGGGGTGGCTTGTGAAATTGAACAACTGACCTTTTGGTAGGCAGCTGAATGAAAAACAAAAAGTATATATAATTTTGGTACACATTAAATTAGAGCTCTGAAAATATTGGATAAAGATAAGTCACTCATTTATAGCTAAATTGGCTTTACAAGGTCTGAAAGGAAAAACCCTAACCCTCTGAAATTCTACATTTAGACAGCTGCACAGGTACCTTCACATTCTCACACCAGTTTCTATAAAAGCAACTCATCAATGTTCTTTACAGAAAAACAATGATGCATGACTCTAAGTCAAACTAAAAACCTTCCTTCCTGTCAAAAGACTTGCAAATGGATGTGCATTGGTATGATGTAATTCAAAGTACAATGAAAGGTTTTGCATGTATATTTTAGTTTTATTATTATTCCCTATTTAATGTTCTGTCTTTCTTTCTTTTTAAAAGTGTACTCTGATGCTTAATGTGCTGAATTTCCACTATATTCTGGTTTGATGTTTATGGTAGATGTCAGGACCATGGACAGCTTCAGGCGCGATCCTAATTTGCCAAGGTGCTTGGGGCAGAATGAAAGTCTTACTTAATATGGTTTAATTCCTAGGGATGTAATGGTTTTGCATCTGAGCTCCACATTTATTTTCTTCAGACAAAGAGTCCATTGGTTTTTGTCAAGGGAAATCTGTTGTCTGAAAATCAATGAAGAGTGGCCTGCAGTATGTTTTATATTGTATTCATTTTGGAACTTCTAAGCAATTGCTTCAAAAGAATTGACCTGATAGTCATAAAAAGAACCCCAGGGCTGTAATTTTTCAGTCTCAAAGCCCTTTCTTATCCCAAGCCCAACCATCCCACACAGTGAGTCAGAATGGAATAACAGAAAGAACTTTGAATGGCAAGTTTTTACATTGGTTTAACTCCCATTTGGATTTAATTTTCCATTTGGCTTTGGCTGACTTGTTTGAAGAAGATGAAGTTGTACCAGATGATCCCCAAAATGTCTTTGGCACTAGAGTTCAATAATACAAGGTCAAGCTTGACCTTCTTGATAGCTAGACATGAAGCATGATGCTGAGATTCCTGTAGGCCAGGATTTGCACCTGAACCTGGTGTGTTGTTATTGTGTGACTTTGAACTCATCAGTGCACTTTTCTGGTCCCCTCTTTTCTCATTTATAAAGTGGGAAGGATATCTGTATTAAATTTGTATTAAATTCATGTACTTATATTCCTTTGAAGGAGTCCTAGGAGCCCTGGTGTGGTGCTGTAGGGTAAGCACTGGACTTTGACCCACAAGACCAGTAGCTATAACCCACCAGTGATTCTTGGCAACTCTATACAGGATCATTATGAGTCAAAACTGACTCGATGAGACAACCACAAAAACAATAAAGGATTCCTGGTAGTGCACTGGCTAAAGCACTAAACTGCTAAGGTAGGTGCTTTAAATCTACCAGTCGTTCCGTAGGAGAAAGGTGTGACATTCTGCTTTCATAAAATGACAGCTTTTGAAGCCCTATGGGGCAGTTCTACTCTGTCCTATAAAGTCGCAATGAGTGGGAACCAACTTGACTGGTGATGTTATGCATGGATTGGGTTCTAGCAAAATACCCAATGACCTCAGGTTCACCTTTTGCTTTATGACATTGAAACCAAGAGCAGTTATGGAAGCTTCCTATAATAGAAATAATTCTGGTTTTTGAGCTCAAAGTTGTGGGTTCAAATGCCAGCCCTACCAGTGGTGGTTGTGTGACCCTGGCAAGCAACTTCTCCTTGTGGACTTGAGTTTCTTCTTTTGAGCAGTAAGACAAATGTCACTGCCTCCTGCTTGGCACATAGCCTAGGCTCAGGATGGGTTAATCCCAAACTTTTCTACTCCCCAGGTCTGTTCAGGAAAGCATAGAGGGTTGGGACTAAACCTAGGTCCCATTGGCATTGGTGGATGAAAGCTGAATTCTGGAATACGTATCACCTGGTCATTTCACCCAAACATTTATCTTAGTAGTGAAGAATCCAGAAAGATATTTTTGTTACTATTTCCCTGTAAGACTCGTAACCAACAGACCTTCAATGTGTGAGAATCGTAGCAGGCAGGAAGGGCCATGGAGGTTCAGGGTTCTGAGAAGGCATGTACCATGCATGAAGGCAGGTCCTGGGTCCTGAGTACTTACCGGAGCTCCTTGGATTCCTGGTGGTCCAGCAGCTCCCGTGTTGCCATCTGCTCCCTGAAGAAAGCAAAGCAGGGAGTTGGTCAGCCCAAGTCAACAGCATCCTGCCCTTTGTACATGACAGTTACCTGGGTGGTACAATCAGATAAGCTCTCTGAAAGGCTGGAGGGTCAACCCCCACTCAGAGGTACCTTAGAAGAAAGTCTGTCAGTCTGCTTCCAAAAGATCACAGCCTTGGAAACCTCTGTCCACAACACGGGGTCACCATGAGTCAGAACAGGCTCAACAGCAACTAACAATAGCTTTGTAAATGGTGTGGTCTTGTTTCTTCCCAGCGGCCCCAGACCCCAGACCTCTCAGATGTACTTCTGCTAGCCTATCAGACTGGACAACCTTGTCTGGGAGTACAAAGAAGTTGGGAGAACAGCAGCAACATCTTGTTGTTAAGTGCCGTTGAGTTGGTTCTGACCCATAGCCACCTGTACAGGGTTTCTGAGGAGCAGCTGGAGAGCCTGAACCATTGACACTGTGGTTCAAACTGACTTTGCTGTCCAGCACATTAACCCACAGTGTCACACCAGGAGTTAATTTTTAGAAGGGACAAAATATCCATCTTAGGAAGCATTTTAGGAAGGGACAAAATATCCCTTTAGCAGCATATCAGGAAGGGACAAAGCATCCATTAGTCTGTCTGCCTAGGATGACTCCTATGGTCTTACTTGGGAATGGACACTTGCAGAGCAGGAGGCAAGAAATCACTCCTTGGGTTCATGTTCAGGGAAGATTATGGGAACTTTTAAACAAACAGCCTAAAGTTCATGCTTTCCTGGGGACAGCTACAAGGGGAAATGGCATGTTTAGTCTGAAGCTAACAGAACAATTTTGTTTCTACTCTAAATGTGGATTCTTCTACATGGTTTTGGCCAAAGCTTCCAGCATCCTAGACTCTTGGAAGTAGCTAAGTTGGAGTCAAACTCCCTGCTGGGAAGAGAGTACGGGTTTTATCTGGAAAAAGGATGTTGACCGATCTGATCATCAGAAAATAAGACCAGTCTTGCAGGCTTGGACCCTACATTCCTGGTATAGTGACTGAATTAAAACAAATATTCAAAGAGCAATGCACAAGTGACAAGTGTTCTGCTCTTAAGTTGCTTCTGAATGTTGGGTGATGAGCCTGAATCTGCAACTGAGTTAGTCCCCATGCCCAAAGGCAATGAATGGTCCAGGACTTGACACAAAGTGGCAGCTCAAAGAACATCTGCAAGTGAATGGGAAACATCAATTAGTGGAGACTGAAAGGCTGACTTCTTATGATTGTTTTGAACCTTTGATTCATCCTCTAACAGGAGACTAAGAAATCACGAGCTACTCCCCACAGTTGTTATACAGAGTCTCCAATGACTGCAATTCCCAATGAGAAGAGACCAGGGTTTTGTCTGTATTGGAGTCATGTTGGTTTTGGAACTACCAGGGTGGGGTGGGGATAGGGCTTTGACCCAATATCCATTTTCTGAGTCTGTCAGCTACTGAGTAGCACATGGAAGCTGAGGCCATCGTAAAATGAAATTATTCAAAACAAACTGTTTGGTGTTTGTATGTGTTTGTTTTTCAATAAAATTCGTGTCTTCTTAGCAAAAGTGCTTCTCCACCCTGCCCATCCATCACCATTGTTTTCAGGTTACTGTTTTTTGGTCAACTGTCAGCTGCTGCAATATCCGATGAGATGTAGAACATAATGTAAAACAATTTAAGTGAAAATGCAAAGCTTGAATGTATGCAGAATTTTATGAAATGTGACAACGTTATAGCAAACTGACGGACCCCCGAAGCAACGATCACCAATGGCTACGTGGCAAAGCTGGACAAAAATGAAGGCTAAGAAATTGACAAGGATGTAATCCTTGGCTTGGTTTGGCAGTTGTTGTTAAGTGCCACTGAGTTGGTTCTAACTCAGTGACCCTGTGCAGAGTTTCTGAGGAGGGGTTGCTGATTTTAAAGCAAAGACCTTGTGGGTGGGAGCCCAGTGTTTATCCTTCTAGGCCACAACAGTTAAGAGGTAGTAATTCCCAGGATGAGACCTATCATAATGCAATCTAATATAACATAAAACTCCATAAGGTGAACAGATGTGATCAGCTCTGAGGCGTTATAAATCCTATTCTATGTTAATGAGGTCAGATGCAATCTACAGGATTAGGTTGTGTCTGAGTCAATTTATTTTGAGATATAAAAAGAGGAAGACAGGGAATGACTACCAAGATAGCAGAGCTGGGAGTGGAGTGGGTCCTTTGGGGTCCCTGCTCCTAGCTCCAGGGGAAGATTGATGCTAAGACGAATGGCGATCTCCATGAAATGCTAGGCTTACAGATGCTGAAAGGAGACAAGGACCTTCCCCGTGAGCTGACACAAAGAGAAAGACTTCTAGCTAGAGTGGGCACTTAACTTAATTTGGATTTATAGCTTTCTAGTCCTGGAGCTCTGGTAGCGTAGTGGTTACGAATCGGGCTGCGAACCTTAAGGTCAGCGGTTCGAAACTACCAGCCGCTCCGCGGGAGAAAGATGAGGCTTTCTACTCCCGTAAAGATTTACACCTCGGAAACCCTGTCGCTATGGGTCGGAACCGACTCGACGGCACTTAACAACAACAACAAAGTCCTGGTGTGGCACTGTGGGCTAATGCGTTAGACTGTAAAGTCATTTTAACTGCAAGGTCTGTGGTTCAAGCTCATCAGCTGCTCTTTGGAAATCCTCTACAGAGTCGCTATGGGTCGTAATCGACTCGATGGCACTTAACAACAACAACAAAACTGTGAGGGAATACACTTCTGGCTGTTAAAGCCATCCATTTGTGGTATTTCTGTGATAACAGTATAGCAAACTAAGCCAGACGTCAACAGCAAAGGTTCTTGGGAGAAAAAGAACACACTGTCTTTCAATAACTGAAGGTAGGTTCTCAGGGAAACAGAAATCTTTTAATACTTTTGTGTATAATTTGTCTTTTCTGATTTTGCTGTAAAAGTCAATCATGAAATGAAAGGTGTCATTTCAAATTCTCATATAATTTCATTGGGTTGGGGATGTATTTAAAGTAACTAGATTCATTCTAATTAACTCATAGTTACAATTAGGTGCCAAAAGTTGTTTAAAAGAAAGAAAGAAAAAGACAGGGCGAGCTTAATTTCATACACTTGAACTTCAAGTTCCAAGATAAAATCCCAAAGGAACCTCTTTTCTACTTTTAGTCATATGACATGTTGGTTTTTATCTGAAGGGGGCTCCTTTGCAGTCGTTGTTTCTTAGCCAGTACCAGTGACCTCAGTCGACAAGGCCTGGGAGACCTGGTGTAATGGAGAACCCACAGGAAATCCCAGAATACTAGTCCTGGACCTGGTCAGGGCACTGATTCCCCCTGCCGTTACCATGGTTACCCTCATTGGCTACTTGGGCAGCAATGGCAGTGGAGTCCAAGCAGAGGAACAAATGACTAGTTTGTGGGCAGCCTGCACTTCAAAGGAGAGAGTAATGCTAAGGAGGCTTCAATGTCAGGAGCAGAGCAATGAGACCACTCATGCAGGGGCCTCAGGGGCATAGTGGAATGATAGAACAGAGAGCAATGCAACAATTTCTACTTGTACATTCAATCCATTAATTACACTCTCCAAGTTGTGCAGTTATTGTCACTCTCCTTGAGGAATTATCCCTCCACCATTTACAGAAACTCTCTGTTCTCTCAGTTTCCTATCAGACCTTTCAATCTGCTGTTATCAATTTGATTCCAGATAGATAAACAGATAGTTGTTAAAAGAGCAAAATGCTCAAGACAGACATTCTTGACTAATTCAGGTAACATAGGATTTGGATTAAAGAAGATTGCAGGCTACACTTTTGGTTTAGGGTTTAAAGGTTATCTCAGGGTGATAGACATTGGTTGTTATGATGTTGTTGTTCTTAAGTGCCATCAAGTCGATTCTAATTTATAGCAACCCTGAGTAGAGTTTCTCAAGCTGGTGGGTTTGAACCACAGACCTTATGGTTAGCAGTCCAGTGCATATCCTACAGTGCCACACCAGGACACCAATTATAATGATAATAAGTCATAATTAATAATAACAAGTCTATGAAAAATAGCAGCATGTTAGCTTTGCAGGATAAACGTGATTGGCAGTTTGAGCCCAGTTGTTCAAACTGGGGAAGATAAGGCTTTCTGCTTCTGAAAAATTTTCAGCTCAGAATCCCCACGCAAGGTCTCTAGTAGTCAGAACCAGCTTGATGGAACTTAACAACAACAAAAATAATATAATTATTACTTGTAGTGGTAAATAATTAGAGTCTTTGTAAGGTGCTATAGGATAAGCACTGGACTGCTAGCTCCAAGGTTGGTGGTTCAAACTCATCAGTTGCTCTTCAGAAACCTTCTGTAGGGTCTCTCTGAGTCAGAACTCACTCAACGGCACTAAACAACAACAATGTTGTTTAGTAATTAAAGCAGGTAATAAAAGTAAATTGTTAAAAACAGAAATAATTAATACAAATATTTGTATCTCTTATTATTTTTGTTAATGATTAGAGTAAACCCAGGAAAATCGAGGTTGACATAGCACTCTTGGTTTCCCAAGGCTTTTCTTCATAGGCTAGGTTCTGATGGAAGAAGGAAGTTGGTTCTACATTTATTATACATTTTATCACCCTAACTTTGCAATTCCTGTGGCAGGCATTCCAACCTCCAAACTCATTAAAAAATATATAAAATAGCATCCCTGCTATGTATCTCTGAATACATATTAGAATCCTAAACCCTTTTCCTGAGGATGTTGTCTCACCTGGCAATGGGATTTGCTGGTGTATCTTATACCTCATCCCTACTGAGCCATACAAAGAACAGATAAGACAGAGAAAAGCACAAATGGGGAGACAGCTGCCACATGAAAACCATGAACCAAGGAACACCCCCAGGACTATAAAAGCTGAAAGAGACAAGGACCTTCTTCCAGAGTTGACACAGAGAGAAATCTTTCCCCTAGAACTGGTGAGTTAGTTCATAATTTTATCCTTCTAATTTGTGAGAAAATAAACTTCTGTTTATTAAAGCCACTCGTTTGTGGTATGTCTGTTACAGCAAAACTAAAAACTAAGGCCCACACTACCCAGTCCCAACCACCTTGTAATTACACTGTCCGCCAAGACCTGCACTTCTAGTTCATCCCTGGGCACTTTTCAGACTGCAGCCCACCTGGTAAAATCGGAGGTAGGCTCAGTGTGGTGCCCTCTCCAGTTAGCACAGAAACGGGTTCAGATGCCAAGGCTAAAGAGAAGGGGATTAGAAATTAGTACTTACGGATGGTCCAGGGTCCCCTGGGGGTCCCATGAAACCTGGAATTCCAGGATGACCCTAGGAAAACAGGAAGCAATGCTTAAAAATGACTCATGGGAAGCTTTTGTTGTTCAAATACCAAAATGTGAACAACTAGATTAGAGCAATCAAGAATCTGTCATCTTGCCATAGACTTAACAAGATTGGCCAGACATGGAGAACAATAAGGCCTCTTTTTTATGTGAAACAAAACCCAAAATTGTATTTAAAAAATCCCCATGGAGGGGATTGCAATTACTGAGATGAAACAAAGTGTGTGATTCGTTGAATGTAAAACTGACGAATTGTTCTGTAAACCTTTACTTACAATAAAAAGAAAAAAAAGATCTCTTTCTTATATATTGCTTGTACTTCAGTAAGCTGGAAAAGTACTTGATAATATCTATAAAAACATCTATATCCTGAAAGTGAATGACTTTGTTTCAAAATCATGTAGGGGATCTGTGTAGAGAGTAGGAGGGGAAGCAAGTAAGAGGAAGTTGTTGAGGGCATAGAAGAGACTAGAGAAGCCATAACAGTTGACAAGTGTTGTGTGGGTGGTGGGCCCACAGGGATATCATGTTAGCATAGTAGGTTATGAACTGGGCCGCTAACCCAAAGATCAGCAGTTCAAACCCACCAGTTGCACTGCAGGAGGGGCCTTCTGCTCCCTTAAAGATGTATAGCCTCAGAAACCCTATACAGGGTTCCTTTGCTATGAGTCAGAACCAACTCCCTGGCACACAACAACCACACCATTTTATATAAAGGAGTCGTGGTAGTATGAGAGTGGTGATGGTTGTGTGTCATAGAGACTTTGTGTAAGGTTCCGAGGCTGTGAATCTTTATAGGGGCAGAAAGCCTCATTTTTCTCCATTGGCATGACAGATGGATTCAAACTGCTGCCTTTGTGGTTCACAGTCCAACTCATAACCCACTACGCCACCAAAGATCCTTTAAAGTATGATGTTGTTGTTGTTGTTATGTGCCGTGGAGTCAGTTCTGACCCATAGCGACCCTGTACACAGTTTCCGAGGCTGTAAATCTTTATGGGAGCAGAAAGCCTCATCTTTCTCCTGAGGAGCAGCTGGTAGTTTCAAACTGCTGACCTTAAGGTTCACAGTATGATAGTGAAATTTAATTTGGTATAGCTCAAGAAATATATCAAACCTAAAGTTTCAAAAGGTGTGGTACCTTTTTTATTATGGACCAGTAAAAATGAGGATAAAGAAAAAACTGTTTTAGAATAAAATATTTTGAATTTTAGAGATGTTGTTTTTAAAAGTATAGCTACCATTATTTGTTTTGTTTGTTGGAGGGTTGGAAGTTGGGTATTTTAAATACTTCATGATTGAAATACAATTTTACAGTATGACTTTTGCTTCCAAGCTTTTTATGTTGCAATTTAAAATATATACATTATTATAATTCTTGTGAAAAGATTTTCATTACAGTTACTACAATTTGAATAGATTGTATTTTAAGGGTGGTAAGATATTTCTTGGAAACTTGGGTGCTTTTTTTTCTTTTGTAAGCAATGTAATGTATTGGCTATGTTCTTAAACCAGTACACAGAATTTCTTTTAACTTATATATGGAAGAACAATCTCTTTAATTAAGGTTTTTGTTTGTTTCACATCTCTGTAAGAATCATAATTTTAACTCAAGTCCTTTGCAAAATCCTAGCCTCCTTATTTACAAATACATCTATATCAGTGATGGTTGTTGTCTAATGGAAATTTAGAGGATTAGAGGACAAATTGTTAACACACTGACTGTAAGCTGAGGAAGTAAAATGTTTATAGTAAAATGTTTACAATAAAAAAAAGTTCCATAACAAAAAGATTTAAAAAAAACCCAAAACACAAAGAAACATTCATGCACTAGTATGCTCGCAATGGAAATTGTTGGGTTAACCAAACTAGGGCACCAACATGCTGACAAGACTCATTTCTTATTTTAAGTAAGAAGATTTTCTTTCCATGAAAAGTGTGTCTGTTGTATATTACAGAGTGAGTCAAACAAGTCGTAGTGCAAAGTAAATGTTATAAACATCAACCAACCACTGAAAAAGTATAGATTTCCCTCTCTTCAATCTCCATACCCTACCACAGGAGAACACAAGCTCCGACATTCATGAGAGTGTGTACTCCCTTGGACAACTCCTTCCAAGAATAATACAAATACAGATGGAATTTGAACTGAGCATCCTGTTCATATTTTGAATACATATAGATGAGCTAGCCATCTCTGGATGACTTGTGGACATGCCTCACTGAATCAAAGGCCACGTGAACTTAGGGGCTTGCCCATCATGCCTTCTGTGTCCCTAATCCTGGCACGGAGCAGGTTGACAATGAGTATGATGGGGAAGCTTAGAGGAGAGTGCAAGAAAAAAAGGGGGGGCAGGCAGGAGAGAGAAAGGAAGATGAACTTTATGGTGACAGCAAAAATACTGCCACAAGCTAGGGAGGTGAGCCTGTGCAGAACCAGCAGGTAGCACCAGGTAGAAGATGGAGGGCTAGCAGTCTTCAGTCCCATAGAAAGAGTGGTGTGTCAACTTTGGGATTCTCCTGTGTTGTGGATTGAATTACATCCTTCAAAGACATATGTTGGAATCCTAACCCTTCTGCCTATGGATGTAACGAAATGCACCTTAATGTAATCACTTTCCAGAGTGCAGTCTCATATAATCATTATCAGTCAGTTGTGGTCATTCCAGTTTGGGTGGATCCTACACCTGTTTGCATCTGAGTTATGTAAAGAACAGCAGAGATACATATAGGGGTTAAAGCAGATGGCAGGTGAGGGGATCTACAGCCACGGAACCAAGGAACATCCGGGACCCTCTGCCAGGAAGAGATCAGTATGGCTGAGACCCTGAATTGGGTTTTAGCTTCTAGAATTGTGAGACAATTTCTGTTCTTTAAAGCCACCCGTATGAGCCATGTGTGTTACAACAATATCTGGAAACTAACACATCCAGCAAAATATTTGGAGGTGTGATCCAGCAGGTGCTGGATGGACACTGACCAGAGAGGTCACGTCTGTAAGCAATTCACCTCTCTTTGTGAGACTCATACAGTAGGTATTGAAGAAATGAAGAGAGCTAGGGAAGGAGGAAAGAGGGGCACATTTTGTAATTAATGACTACCATCTCTGCAAGAAATGCTCAAGGTGAAAGAGTCCAAATTTTAAAAAGTAAAGGTTGTCTACCTGAATAATTACAGTGAAACTGGGGCAGGGAGGAGAATGGGGAGGGTGATAGTGGGCCAGAAATAGCAAAATGGAAACATGAGAGTGTGACCCTTTAAACACTGCTACTGGAGGCAAAGAAGTAGCAAGGATCAGCATCAGAAATGGTAGAATTGAGACTTTGTATAAGAACCGTCCATGCTTCTTCAAAATGAGTGGTTCCTGATGAAATAAGTTGTTTTTACCTGATCACCTTTCTGTCCAACCTCACCATCTGTACCACGCTCTCCGTTACTTCCCTTGGGGGTGGGAAACACAAAAGAAGAAAGAAAAATATTACTAAAACTGTACTGAAAAGGGAGATTTCATGCACCCATTTACCTACTCACTCACTCATTCATCCATTCTTCAACTGTGTCTTACCAAGTCCCTGCTGTAGGCCATAGATAGAAACAGAGAGGTCTGGCTGAGGACTTGCTGGTGGAGTGGATTATCTAGGTGGTGGGTGCTGGGGACACAGTAGGAATTGGTGCTTGTGAGGCAGGCAGATCCCAGTTCATTGTGAGACTTGTGTGACAACTAGTGAATCAGGATTTAATTGTAAGCACTGAAAACCTTGTACAGGATGGCCCTGACTGCAAGATGGAGGGGCAAGAAGACCCAGTTGGAGAAATAGGGTCACAGGGAGGGTGGGATCATGTGGTGTCCATGGAATTGGCAGAGGTGTGGGGTGTAGAAAAGAGAAATTCTAGAATGATGGTGACCAAGGGCATCACTACACCATGAGTTAAGAAGGAGATTCTTAGAGCTTGGGTTCCCTGCTTCCTCCATTATTACCTTGAGACCTTGGATGGGTCACTTAAACTCTTGGAGCTATTGTTTCTTTATCTATGTTGTTGTTTTTAAGTGCTGTCAAGTCAGTTCCAATTCATAACGATACTGTATAGAGTTTTCAAGGAATGGCTAGTGATTTTGAGCTGTGGACCTTGCAGTTCAAATCGACCTTGCAGTCCAGTGCTTACCCTACAGAGCCACACTAGGACTCTTTCTGTATCTTTTGTATCTATACCACAGGGAAATGATTATGTCTATTCCATGAAATGTTGATATACTACAAATGTAAAATATATGGGAAATAAATAAAACTCAGCATTAAACCAGTGCTCAATAAATTATCATTATTATTAATTTACATTGTATAGCATTTGAATTTAAGCTTTGCCATTTACTAACTGTGTATCCTTGGTCAATGTGCTTAGATTCTCTGTTTCTTAGCTTCTAAAATGGGAATAATAAAGATAATACCTAAGTCATAAGATTTTGTGAGGATTAAAAGACCTAAGATGTATAAAATGTTTACACTAATGACAAGCTCTGAATCAATTCTCAATAAACATTAGCTATCAGTATTCTCCTCACCATTATTACCATGTTGATCAGCATCACTAGCATTTTCATCATACTTCACAACATCATTGTTCTCATCAACAAAATCACTGGATCAACATCATCATCACCATTGCCACCATCTTCATCATTGGACCAACATTACTGCCACCATCATCATTGTCATTATCACCATCATCACTACCATCATCATCATCATCACCAACACACTAAAGATGGTCAACCTATCCAAATTATTATTTTTTAAGAAATGAGCCCTGGAAGTAACATGCAAAAATCCAGTGCCTTAACTGCCACCTATTTGGGGCTCTGAATTCACTGTGTTAACAAATGTATTTCATTAAAATGTTGTTAAACTAAAACACTTCATATCCTTCAAAAGACTGCAAGATGCAATAAAATAAGCTCTTCTTGTTAAATGTTGTTGAGTTAGAACCAACAAACAGGGTTTCAAAGGAGCAGCTGGTGGGTTTGAACCACTGACCTTGCAGTTAACATTCCAGTGCTTATCCTACAGTGCGACACCAGGACTCCAAAAAATGTCTTAGCAATGAGCCAATTCTGACCCAGGTTGCAGGATTGTCATTGCTTATCTTTGAATCTTTGAGCAGGTCGTGTCCCCTCTGGACTCTCTAATTGTTCACAAGTCAATGAAGGATTGGGGGTAGGTCAACCTAAGAGGTTCCTTCCAGTTCCAGGGCCCCAAAATTGTGTCACTGAAATGTTAAGCCCAGTCCTCACCAGCTCCAGATTGTTACGTTGTTCTGCCACATAACACCTAGGTAATTACACTCCCTCCCCACCTTCGTGCAGTAAATCTGGAAAGGCTTAGGTGTGCGCATACCTGCAAAAAGCCTCATCCCATTGTTTAGATTTGATACAACAAAAATGGGGAAAGCATCTGTTCCAACATTCTTGTATCTAATTGTTTCTACAGTTTCTAAATCTATGAAACCAGCATATTGTCTGTAGGCCACTTTGAAATCTTCATGAAAAGAATCCAGAGAAACCTGCTACTTCCTGACATTTGGAACAATTGCCTTAAAGGTAAATGGTTTCTTTTGAAACTGAGACCATTGGTTTGGGCTTAGAGTTTATTTCAACTCTCAGGTCACAGCAGTGAAAATATTAGCAGCTCGAGGATCACAACCATAGTTCCCTTCCCACAGTCCCACTGCATCCACCCCAAACCTGACTCACATCCTTCCAGAGAAAGGGACTGAAATCTACAAAGCCCCTACTCTGTGTCAATGAACCCTGGTGGTGCTGTGGATTAGGCATTGAACTGCTAGCCTCAAGGTCAGTGGTTCAAATTCACCAGCCACTCCTTGGGAGAAAGATGAGGCTGTCTGCTCCCATCAAGATTTACAGTCTTGGAAACTCTATATAGGGTCACTATGAGTCATAATTCACCCGATGGCACTGGGTTTGTGTGAGTTTCACTCTGGGCCATCACTCTGCTGACTTTTCCCACGTGGTTCCATTGAATACACTTCTCTGTTGGTTAGCAGCCTGATTTAGAAAGTCTACTGCATCTCTGTTTTCTTGTTTCATCAGTAAGACTACTTAAGAAGTTGGCATTACTGATAAAACCCGAAAGGTCCGAAGGGTTCAGTCACTCACCTGGGGCCACATGACTACTAAGAAGCAAGGTCTGGAATCGAATCCAGCTCTGTCAGTCTGATGATCAAATATCCAATGATCTCTCCCCTGCCTGAGTTACTTTCCTGGTTGTTTTTCTAGACCACAATACCTTGTCCCACTGGCTATATAACACCAAGAGCACTGGATTTATAGTCAGAAAGTCAGGGTTCATCCATGTATCAAGACTAGAACAATCCACACACAGGTCCAGGACAACCCACCCATAGTCCCCAGTCCTTGGATGGTGGACAAGTGGGTGAGAACTGAATTCTCCTGGTATCTGGTTTTTGGGTTTACAGAGCTGGGGTACCCACTCAGGTCATTTACCCTGAATGACCTGGTATAGTGCTGTAGGTTAATGTGCTGGACTGTAAAGTTGGTTTGAACTGCAAGGTCGGTGGTTTAAGCTCACCAGCTGCTCCTTGGAAAGCCTATACAGGGTTGCTGTGGATTGGAAATGACTCAACAACACTTAACAACAACAACAACAACAGCCTTTTGAACCTTGAACTGTTCAAATCACACCGTAGTCTAGTGAGCGGTTCAGTGGAGGCTGTCTGCTCTCAGGCATTGGGCTCCTTTGGAGAATGACTGCTGTGCAGACAAGTTTGAGAAGCAGGGACTCCAAGGTCTCAGTTGTTGTGAAGTGCCTTCCAGTGGGCTCCAACTCACAGTGACCCTGTATAGGGGTTCTGAGGAGCAACTGGTGGGTTTGAACCACCAACCTTGTGGTTACCAGTCCAGTGTTTATCCGATGGCATCACAAATAGAGGCTGTGTTTTAGTATATGTGGTAAGACCTTGGGAACTGTCTCTGAAACCAGCTGGCCCTGAAACCCTTCCCTGCACTTTGCTGTTTTCTACTGAAAATTTAACACAATAGCCTTGTTGTTGTTAAGTGCTATCCAGTGGGTTCCAACTCATAGCTAGCCTGTATAGGGTTTCCAAGGAACAGCTGGTGGATTTGAACTGCCGACCTTGTGGTTCAAATCTACCTTGAGGTCCAGTGCTTTATACTACAGCTTCACATAATACCTTGTTGTTGTTGTGAGCCATCAAGTCAATTCTAACTTATAGCAATCCTCTGTAGTGTTTCTAAGGTTGTGGGTTTGAACCTCCAACCTTGTGGTTCAAACCAACCTTGAGGTCAAGTGCTCACCCTAGAGTGCCACATCAGGATTCCACACAATAGCCTAGATACAGCAATTCCCAGAGAGCTTTTACTAACTGGGTCATTAAGTCTTTTTTGTTTTCTTAATTTTTCTTGTGATTTGAGTGGAAGTTTACAAAGCAAATTGGTTTGCCATTCAAAAATCCATATGCATTTTGTTTCATGACATTGATTACAGTCCCCACAATGTAACAGCAGCCTGCCCACTTTCTCTCTGGGTTCCCCATTTCTATTCATCCTTCTTGGCCCTTAGTCAATCTTCAGACCTGGAAATGAACTCACCCCTGTGGCTCAGCCAAATAACAGAGAGGGCTACAGGCTGAACATTAACACCAGGGAGGTTCCATTCCATAGAACACACAAGCTAAGAGATCCAAAGGGCAGCATTAGTCCAGAAATAAAGGTCAAAAGCCAGGGAGCGGGAGGAAAGAAGGATGAGAGGAAACTGTTGAAGTGGAATTTGTAGGTGAGTCAGAACAGGTGCATATGGTTCTGGTTTAACCTGACTTTAGTGCAAGAAAGGGCTCAAAGCCTTTCCAGTGATTTCAAAGCTGCATGTTGAGCAAGAGAAGGTGACTGTGATGAGGCATTTGTTATAAGTAGGGGATGGTTCAAGGAGTCCTGTTAGCACAGTGGGTTGGGTGTTGAGCTGCTAACCATAAGGTCAACAGTTGAAGCTCACCAGTCACTCTGAGGGATGAAGATGAGGCTGTCTGCTCCCATGAAGACCAACAGCCTGGAAACCCTAAGAACAGCTGTAGTCTGTCCTGTTGGGGTTGTTATGCGTCACAATGAACTCAAAGGCACTGAGCTTGATTTGGTTTGAGGGGTTGGTTTAATCCTTACAAAGTGAAGGCATATTTGTGTAGCACTAAAGGGAGTCCTAAGGAGCTCTGGTAGCGTAGTGGTTATGAATTGGGCTGCTAACCTCAGCGTCAGCAGTTCGAAACTACCAGCTGCTCCTGTAAAGATGGACAACCTCGGAAACCTTATACAGGGTCTCTATGAGTCAGAACTGACTCCACAGCACATACCAACAATAACAAAGGGAGTCCTGGGGTGGCGCTGTGGGCTAATG